TCTATTGAATTTTCCTACAAGTATTTTTCGGTGCATTTAGCCTTAACTTTCTCTTCCCATTAATATTTTATTTTGAGGGATTTTTGTTTTGGGCTATTGGTATTTTGCAAACCTATGTTGGTACACCGTGATCGGCTGGTTAAAGTTCTCGTGTTTTTCCTAGTGTCAAAGAAGCTTGTCTGTAGTGGTCTGACAAGAAATGGATATTGCCATCTAGGGAGTCTAATAAAAAAGGACACGCTAATTTAATATATATTTCAATCCGAATTATGTATTAGGTCATGCCATCATGCGTCATGTCACGATGTCCGACATTGGCTGAGTGAATAATAAGAGAAAAGGATTCTTATCTGAAGACAGTAGGTTGGATAATATTTAAGATCATGTTAGTGTTAAGAAAGGTTAAATGAAATGAAAAATAAAATTTCTATTTAAAATGTTGACTTCATCATTTTGTGCCATCTTGTATGGAGTTATTTTCTTATAAAAAAATTATCAGACCTGTTTCTTTTTCTCTTTTGGAGTTCATGTGAACATAAGTTCTTTATAATTATGTGTTGAATTTTTTCAGGGTGGAGTGTTCTATTAATTGTTTTAGAGGTGACACAGTTGAAAAATCACAATGCTACCTAGATCAATTCTTGTTATAGAATTCTTCTGTAAATATTCTGTGAAACATGTTAAGCCAATATATTTCACAACAACAGGTTAGCTCAGTTAAATAATTTGAATGGACTTGTTATTATTGTGTTTAGAAATAAATACATCTTTGGTTTCTTTTTTGTTTTTAAGGATTACCAATTCGTCAACTTGGTATTTATCATATTTGTGGAAATGATCTCTCATCTTTGGGACTAGCAAAAATTGTGGAGAAATACCATAAAATATGTCAAAAAAATACTGTAATTTGGGCTCGCTGTTTGACTGATGAAGCTAAAAAGAAAGATAGTGTATTAGAGAAATCAGTTTCTGGAAATGTAGAAGAAATAATCAAAGGTAATTGTGCTTTTATGATGCTTTCAAATGCTTGATATATAATCAAATATCAAGCAATCATAAGTATGTAAATTCTTTCCATGTCGAGAAACCATATTCAAGAACTATTTCACACCTCTATATAATAAATTAGAATCTCTTTGGTTACCTTGTGTGTTATTGTTTTATTATTCCTCTTATTTAGTTAACATCCAACTACTATTGTAATAGGGTGTTTCAAATGAAAGCAGATATAAACCTTTTTGGTTTGCAACTATGAAAAGAGATGCAATGCTCATAGATTGTGTGTACTGTAGAGTAATTTTTGGAGATTAGGGAGTATCCTTGAAGTGACCCAAAACCATTGCTCTTTGTTATTTCATGATAATTGTGGAAGTTATGGTCTACCACGATAGAGATATGGGAATTGTATGATCATACATGTTATTCAATCTAGTGAAATGATTGTACTAATCTCACCACAACTGGATCCAAATGTTTGTTGAAATAATGTTCTTAAGTTACATTATGTCTCATCGTATTCTGTAAATACTTTTATGTCTGTGGTGTTTGGTCAGAACCGTATCACTACCAAATTCATGATTTAGAATACTCACATTGTCATTTCAAAAATCAGTAATTAAGCATTTATACAAAGATGAATGAAAATGTGATATGTTGGAATGATGTTTAACAGTAAGCATACATCTGCATTTATCTCTCCTCTATATGGTTATGATTAGCAAGAAATTGTGGTATCAGATTCTAACCAAAATTCCTACGAGGAGTTCAGGACAAGGTAAATAACAATTTTTTTTCCCTCAAAAGTTGTTGTAAGTCACAATTTTAATAAATTGTCACCATTAAATGTGAAAGTAAGACAAGTCATCAACTTGTAAAATTTAAATCACAAGTATTTCCCGAAGGAGGGGTTATTATAGTGATTGGAACATAAAGTCCTAAAAATATCTAAAATAGGTAGACAATAAAACATTTGAAACTGCTAAGACAGGTAAAAGGAAAAATTAAATTCGTTCTTTTTAATAATGAATTCACAATTACAATTTATTAATAGTATGGAATATGAATTTCTTAGTAATGTTAATAAAAATAAACTAAAAAACGTGGATGAAATGTCAAATAGTTTTATGAAAAATATCTTGAGTTTTTTAAACGTTTTGATTATCTAAACTTAATAAGTAAGTGTTTTCTTAAAATTTCTGTGATTAATTTGTGTCTTGTGTGTAATGAAGCATCCTTCAATTGAGAGGAGAATCTCTTAATCTCGACATATTATTGGATCAAATCTTAAACACAACAGGTCAGAAGAATCCATTTCTTCAGCAACTGAATTGTCTCCCTCCAGGATTTTTGAAAGTGAATTTTGAATCTTGATATTTCTGTTTGTCATAATTTTGAAAAAAACTCTTACATTTTTTATTTTCTTTTACATTTTTTGTCACCAGCAATCCTTTTTTCCCTTTCACTAGATGCTGCCCCCCCCCCTCCCCTCCTTTTGCAATGGCATCTGACAAAGAAATGAAATGGGCCGAAAAAAGTATTATGACATTTGTTTATTTTTAAAGAATCGATAATTTTCCTTAATAATTCAAATGATGATTCTTTATTGTCAGTGTTGACCACAGTTCATATTCTTGAAAGATATAGGTAGTTGTAAATAACTGCTGAAATCCCATGTTCCCTATCTCGAAACAGGTTTGAGGAGGCCAGAGGCAGATTTGAAACAGTGTTTTTGAGAATCTGAATTCTTGAGCATTTAAGAAATATCTTTCAAGGATATAAAAAATATTTCCAGGGATTGCAAAACTCAAAAATTTAAACCAAATATTTGTAGGCATTTATTGTAAAATAGGCAAAAAAAAATGGAAAATAGAATATCACATTTGGAACCTCAAAGTTGCCATTTGTAAAAATTGATTTTTAGTATCTAGTTAACTTATATGATTAAAATAAGACCTTTGCATTAAAATAATATTCAGTTCAAATATGATAATTCCGTATTTTTGTCTTTGCACAGTTGTACTACATAGAGAATGGTTTTGTTAGTACCTAACAAATGTACATGTCAAGTTCTGACCGAATCTAAAATAAAAAGTTGAAGGATAGCAGGTTTAGACCAAGGCTGTAGAAAAATGCTATGATCCTATTAGAGATATAACTATACCAAATGAAAAAGGAATGCTTTTAAAACAGTGATGCTTTCAGTTCAAAAAGTTATAATTTGGAGACAATATTCTCTCCAATTACCATAGATATCACACATGCTTTTACTTAAAACTTATTGCAAGAGTCAAATTACATCTTTTGATTAATATGTGATACAGATCTTGGGTGGAAAAAGGAAATTACATTTTTAATAAATGGTTTATTTCACAGCTCCTGTATCGCCAAAGAAACGAAAACGTGTTGACCTTGCTGCAGTGTCGTTGGAAAGAAATTTTATAACTCCAGTGAGAGCTATGACAGATTTTCTTCTTAAACCTAGTGACTTGGAAGGTCTTCGTAAGACTAAACGTCGCTCTCCTTATGAAAATGAACCACCTATTACTGTTTTCTGGCGGAAAGATGTGGAATCAAAGTAAGTTGTTTGCTAAGAAGAGTTTACATGTGTATGTTATTTATACCTTCTCGCCTACTCCTTATTTAATATAGAGAAAATAATGCTATAGAGAGAGGTATTCTGTAGCAATAAAACATTGATTTTTTTTGACAGAAACTCTCATTTCGTGCGTCCTTAAGAAAAATAGGATAATTCTTGTTCTAATATGTAGTAAATTACTTCCTCCAACACATTTGTTAATCAGAATTTACATTTTGTGGGTCTTTGATACCTGCCTGTCTTTTCATCTGTCACCAAAACTGGTATTTCTCAATCGATCTGAATGATGTTACGATCCTGTGAATTAGAAACAAATATATTTGAAATTTTCATTCATTACTTGTTTTCCATAGAATCCTATAACAACGGGAACAGGTATGTTTCCCAATCTTGCATTTACACCTCCAGCTATAATTAACAAATAATTTTGGTTGCAACTTTTTTATGTTTGCAGCTTGTCATAAAATTTTATGGTTTCTTCTTTCTTTCCTTCGTTGGGGGAACTGTAACCATAAACTCATAACTGTAAGATTACCTCTACTTATTTTAAATGTACTCTTCGTATTTTCATTGATGTATAACTTGTTATACACTTCTTCTATTTCGTATCCAAAACGCTACACCAGCTTTCAATCTTTCTCACTGCTGCACTCCCCTATAGGTATTCAACGACTCATAAATCTCTCTTGTCCCCTTTGTTTTCTTTTTACTTTTCCATATACGTATGTGTATATGGAGTAATAAGCATAGTATAGGAAAAGTTATGTAATGCGGTAGAAAATCAATTTTGTGATTTCAATGGAAAGACACGTTTTGGGGCGACTAAACCATACGTACAATTTCTTCCAAAATGGATATTCCCAACTCAATCTTACTCCTCTCGTAGGGCCGTGATTTTGATAAACTTTCTTCAAAATTTGTGGGTACTTTGCATGAAGCCTCCCGCACATTTTCAAAATTTTCTCAAAAACACATCAAAGTATTTTTTTTAATTTCTTGTACGAATAGAGTAAAATATACTTATAATGGTAGCATTGGTCTGATTTTCACGGTTATCTCTGAATTTTCAAAAATTGCAAAAATTTGAATTTTATACCGTGTTGTCTTACAACTACAAAATTAAAGATAGAGGTGTTTCCTTCATATAAAATTTGTTGTCCATAGAGAGTTCTTTCATTAAGGACATGTATAGTTTTTTAAAATTTTAGTAGTTTTGGTGCAATGTTTGCAATTTAAAAAAGTTATAGACAAGATTGTCACAAAAACGGCTCCAAATTTTTTGTAGAGATACTGCTAAATGCACTCTATAAGATAACATAAACACCATATTGCTATATCCCTTTGTTTTTCCAAAAATTACAAAAATGAAATTTCTTTGACTTTTGTCTCACGTTTATATTTTCAGTATCAGCAATTTGTTTACATTATTATATTTATGAGTACATGTGCTTTAAATAATGTCATATAAAGCTTTTCAAAAACGCAACCATTTTGTGTAAAAACTGGCCAAGTTCTGCATTTTCAGACACTCTCAAACTGCATTTTTTTAAAAAAATCGCACTCTTTAATATGACATAAAATTCATTTTGAGGTATTTTTTTTCTTTTTTCAAAAATTACACATATGTAATTTATTTGAACGATCTCTCATGCCATTAATACATTTTCAGCGATTTGTAAACACTATTGTATGTGCATGTTAAAATTGCTTGAAATGACTTTGAAGTTGAAAACTCAAACATTTTCTGTGAAAAATAGCTTATAGCTTAAGTGCCATTTTCTTAAAAATGGCTCCAAAATTAATCAATGAAAATTGCCATATGTATTTTTACTGTTCTTTAATAATCTTAAAATAATATTTCCATTAATATAACTTTTAGGAAACTGAAAAATGAAGAAAGTTTTAAAAAAAATGTATTTTGGGATTTGATAGGTGGCAGCTGGCAAGAGTATGTGGCAAGTTCGTGTAGTTATCCGAGACCATAGAAAATAGAAAAATAATATGGGAAAGTCAGTGCCATTCTGTAGCACCACTAGTTTGTTTCTGTTATTACAGCAATGTTGATTTTTCTTTCTTTTAATAGTTCGTAGTATTTCTTTATTTTGTATTATGTTATTTGTATTTTGTATTATGTATTTGTACATTCCATGTTACTACATTTAGTACATCCGTTATTCCCATGTGCTTCAACCTTTTTAGTTTGCTATGGTTGTCATCAAATTGGTCTGGCTTCTTTCCTTGAGACTTGTCGTTAACAGAATACATCCCCTAGCTGTGTTTCTGGAGCTGTGAGGGTTGAGTTTGATAGAGGGGTTGCCTCCTTTCTGCCTTTGTACTTACAGATTTTATTTAGTTTTTTCTCTAGATGGGTTGGTTTCATCTCACCTGAAGAGTTCCATTTACCCTGATCTGAAGGGAATGGAGAGGAAATCCCAAGGAACGGGAGCCTCTGAGTTTCGCGATCCACCTGTTGGACCCAAGGGCAGTGAAAGAATAATAAGCACTGAATGATGGATATTTTAAAAGGTGAGGACAGCAGTCAACTACTCCTGAGGAAAAACCATGAATGAAAATGAAAAAGAACTTAGAGAATTTGTAACATACAATGAACTAAGTATCACCAATACCTTTTTTGAAAAAAGAAAATTCATAAATATACTTGGAGTGCCCAGGAACAACACTATGCGATAGTGTATGTAATTGTTAATAAAAAGTTAAGTTCAGACGTGAAGGATACCAACGGTTTGAGAGGATATGATTATATTCAGATCACTATCTAGTAGAAACAAAAATATATTTAAGAACAAGATGGAAGAAACAAATTGCCACAAAAAATAAACAAGAAGGTGTAGGGCATAAAGTATATCTACTAGAAGACATTAGTATAAGGGAGTTAACAATTGAACAAACAAATAATTAAGAAATGAGTTAAATAGAAAAACACATTTTTGTCTTTGTGGATATTGAGAAGGCTTTTGGTTATGTCAATCACTGTAAATTATGGAGCATTATGAAAGAAGAAGGGTACCAAGTCATCTAGTGCAAGTGGTAAAAACTATGTATGATAATAGTAATATCTCGGTGAAATAGAATGGATTTGTTTCTGGGAAAAGGATTATAAATAGAGGTATAAGGCAGGGATACAGTCTTTCACCAACAGTCTTTAATATATATCTGGGATATATAATAGGTGGAAGAACGTGGTGCCCTCAGGAATTCACCTGGGCAAAAATACATTTTTATATACTTTTTTAAATGCTTGTGACCAGGTGATTCTGCAGGAAAACGAAGATGACTTACAAAGATCTATGTACAATCTGGACCATATTTTTATGGTATACAATTTGATATTATCAGTGAAAAGTAAAGTAATAGCTTTGAAAGGAAAAGAGTCAGTAAGGACAAAGATTATGCTTCAAAATATGGTTTTAGGATAAGTGACGCATTTTTTCTGCCTAGTGTGAAATTACATGTGGAAGAGATAGGGAGACCACCAACAAGATCCATAAATTTCAAGCAATATGTGGAACTATAAGTAAAATGTTTAAAAAGAAAGCATGAGAGGAAACACCATTAAAAGTTAATGATATTATGGCCCTCACAGTTCTACTGAATGGATGTGAAAGTTGGGTTCAAAAACAAGATTTTAGGAGGATTGAATCAGCAGAAATTAGATTTTTGAGAGAAGTAAAGGGCTGTACATTAAGAGACCAAATAAAAATTGAAAAAATAAGAGCGGAACTAGGGCTGAAAGAAACAGTACATGACAAAATTGAGAAGTAGAGACAGCAATGGGTGACACATATTGGAAATACGCTGAAAAACAGACCTCCAGTACCAGCCCTGTATTATAAGTTGAGAGGAAAGAGAAACATTGGAAGGCCAAGAATGAGATGGAAAGAGGCTGGAGTGGGCAATATGCCTAATCCGTAAAGAAAGATGATGATGATGATGATATATGTGAAATGTTTTTTGGGGGTTACTTTACATTAAGCATAATGTAATTTTCAAAATTTTCGTAAAAATGGCTCTAAATTTTTTCTTTAAGAGAAAGCTTATTCTATTCTTATAAAAAAACAGCATAGGTGGTACCTTTTTGCTTGAATTGTCTAAATTTTTAAAAATCCCAAAATTTAATTCCTTTTTTACATTACCTATAACTACAATACTGAAGATGTAGATCTATTTTCATAATGAAATCTGTTCATCGAAGTTATGTCTCTAAATAAACAGTAAAGACGTACAAATTTTTCAAAATATGAATAGTTTTAGCATATTACATAAATAAATAAAAATTGTTTCTTAAAAACAGCTCCAAATGTTTCTTTAATTTTTGTTAATAGTGCAAATTTTAATTAATTAATTAATAGCATAAAATACGCTTATAAAAATGTCACATGTCCGATTTTTATTGATCTCTCTAAATTTACAATGATGTATGATAGATTATCAACACAAGTTTTTTGTTGTAGTGGTATATCTTTTGTCCATTTTGTTGATTAGATTTGAAGTTTCTGCAAATATCTGTTAAAGTAATTTTTGTTTTTATAAAATTATATTTTGTATTAAAGTAGTTAAAATTGTTATTTTTATTGCAATACTTTTAAATAATTTGCTTATGAAATAAAATATGATTATTTGCAGAGTGGAGGGGCACACCCCCCAACAAAAATTCTGATTGCACACCTGTTAATTGTGTTTTTAATTTTATAGTGTGTATTGGTTTTCCTTAAATAATTTCCATTGATCCCGTGCAGCTTCTTCCGTTATATATCACTTTTTAGCATTGTTCACTATTATCACAGCATTTCTCAAAATTTATAAATAAAATAAATGTTGGTTAGTTCCATTAATTTCTCTTTGATAATCAAGTGTTTATTTCAAATGTCACTCTCAAACAAAACTCGAAATAAATCCATACAGATATTTAATACAGTGAAACCTGCAGAAACAACAACCTTAATGACATGGTCACCTCCACTAATGGCCATTTTCTCGTACTTACCACTGTAGTATGCACTTTCACTTATATTTATTGTTTAATGCTGGTCAAAATTGTGCTCTTACAAACAATTGTCCATAAATTAAATGGAACTATTTTTATTTTATTTATTTTATTTTTTACGAAATCATTATTTGCTGTTTTGATCTGCAATCCCCACTGGGATAGCTCCCTTAATCGTTTTGCTCCTAAGATGCCAGGTGCCCGTGCATGTGTCCATTCTGTAGCTCCTCTCCTTGCATGGATGGGTGATGATCATCTGACACAGCTGCCTGAGGAAGTGTGTAGGTCTTTCAGAGTCGGTCTTCTATTTCTTTGCATTTTCTGAGGGATCCCATTTTCCTACCCCTTTGAAGGTGTTTCAGATGATAATATAATTAAAATATGAAATATCATGCAATTTTTTTTCTTCTTCAGAGCCATGGAGGTTTGGGGAAGTAAAGAAAGTTTAGATAGAGCTCTTCGATTAAAAGAAGCAGAAAGGAGACGGCACCAACAAAGTGAGTAAGCATTTCATTTTACAAAGTTATTTTGTGGTAATTAACTAGTGTTTCATTTTTCCCAACTCAAGGAGGGGGAAAGTTCCAAATTATATTCTTTCTCTTATTGAATCTATTTTAATATTCAAAGAAAGATCAGATCAATGTAGATTTGTATATTGTTAAATGATTATTACTGATTGATGTAGGTAACAAATTTAGTTTCTTTGCTCTTTTATGCTAACAGAATTTGGGAACAATGAAGAAAGTGGTAAGCTTAGATTATCTTTTACACTGTTTTTATATTTTAAAAAAATTCTGTTATTATGAATCAAGCTTTCAGAAATTGCATTGCCATAAATTATTGTTGACATTCATTAATCTGAGCAAAGTTGTAGATGAAATTGGTGTGTAAATATTGGAATATGCTTTGGTTTTATTGAATTAGTTCACTTTTGCGATTGTTCATTGCCAACATATCAGATCACAAATCATAAGAAGTTTCTGCAAACTATTCCCAGAATATTTTTGATTGAAATGTCAGCTGCTATTTTAGTAGTTTAAGATGACTTGTCAACTAATGTTCAATGTTGCTATGAAATTGAAGATTTAGGATGGTGATTTTTTTATGGAATGCTAGAAGTTTAAAAAAATCAGGAAACATTCAATTCCATAGAAAAGTAAAATAGATGTTTTGGCTGGAAGGTTTAAAGGTGTGAGTTCATTGTATTTATGATATGGGCATGTAGTTTCTGAAAATATTATACTAATTAATGCAGCTCTTCAGTTTCCGGCCTTCGTTGAATTACCCTTCATTTGAATAACCAATATTTTTCTATCAACAAAAATAATTGAATGTATATTTAAAAAATACTAAATTAATCAATTATATTGAGTGAACTAACAATTTTGAAAATATTAAATTTGAATGTTATACGTTTCATCTATCATTTCCCTCAGTTAATCTATTTTCTGAAATCAGAATATTTTGATTGTGTTTGTGTAAAAATATTTCATGATCAAAGCTTTCTGTCTGCTTTTAATTGTGATCCTAATGAAATGTTACAAAACGTTTCATATTTTTTCGTTTATTCTTGACCTTCCCATACCATAATTATTTCATTTTGATTTTTAAGCAGACATATTTGATGTTAAGAGAAGGCTTAAGGATTATAGGAGAGAGAAGCAACTGGAAGAAGACAAGGAATCTAGAAAGTCTGGACTTTGGGGTCCATCAGGTCGTGTGGTATTGACAGCTGTTGTCATGTAAGTTTTAATTTTTAAATAATTTTTGTACTAATACATTTCCATTTACTCTGGAGTAGAATGTTTTACCCATTTAGTGTATATTTTGTTGCAGAAATGGCAGTAATTTTCTCTTCAAATTGTTTGCCTGGTTGTACACAGGATCTCACAGCATGTTCTCTGAATGTATCCACTCACTCGCAGATACCATTAATCAACTTATTTTGGCTTTTGGGGTTCACAAATCTGTGCAAGTATGATACATGTTTGACCTACTCTGTTTGTATGATAATTTTATCAGGAAGTATAAATTAATGTTCATAAATCAGTACAGTATTGAAGTTTGTTTTTTTTTAATTGTAAAAATGTTTTAATTTTTATTTCTATAAGGAATTGTCATCTGTAAAGTTGTATGTAAATTAGAAATTGACTGATAACAATGCAGAAGCAAAATCTACTGAAGCCAAAGATGTGAAATTTGAAATGTAGGTTCATATTTTGATGTGTGTGATCATTGCAAAAAAATTTTCAAAATTCATTCTTTTAGGTTTGAAATATGTTTTTAATTATTTTTATTTTATTTAATGCAATCACAATGCATGTATGTCTGGGTTTTACGCATTGAGTGACACAACAACCAAGACCGGCCCCTGAAAGTTAAAGGGTTATTGTGTATTGTATTGTATTGTGTATTGTGTACTGTATTGTATACTAATATATTCAGCTTCTTCAAATTTATTTAGTTTCTGAGGTATTTTCCAAAACAGAAAGACCGCTCATTGAAATATTGCTCTAAGGAGTAGGAAAGGATCATTGGTGTAATTTGTAGTAAATCTCAGACAGTAACTTTCCTCTTGTTTAAAAGTTAACATGTACAAAATTTCATTAAGATTTTTTATTGGTAGATTTGTATTGAAAAACAAAGAAACACAAACCTTGTTTATATAAGAGAAAATAATCATTAAAACAGTACCCTAATTTGTGTATTGTGTGACCAATACTCCTCTGTTCATTTAAAACTATCAAAATTGATTCAGCCGTTCCAGAAATTAACCAGGACAGAGCGCTAAAAATCGAAAAACGAGTTGAATGTTTTTTAATATGATTTAAATACGTATATGAGTTATTTTGAAATCACAGGCAGTCACTGCAATTTTATTTACATAGATTGCTGTAACAAAAGGCAAAAAAATCTTCAATTTGTTTTATTCCTTTTAAAATCAAATGTTAATGTTGTTTTTATATTATTAATCTTTTGAGACTACATAAATAACCTTGTTGTACAAGATTCTGTCATTTGAAGAACAAGACCTCGCACAAAATTTTAGAGATCATTAAGATGTCTCCAGAAATTTGGAGAACCCTGATTTAGGCATTACAGATTGAAGGGGACAGCTATGTGGGATGGGGAGACACATTGACGCCAGACAGAAAGGAGTAAGGATGTAAATAAAATTACTTCTATTGCACAGCATTGATAGAATTTATTCCTTTTCCAGTCTAATTGATGACTCAGTAAAATAAAAACCTGGGGAATGCAGGATTACTTAGGCTGGTTTGTAATGTTTGAATCTGCTTGGAATTTTTTGAATAGAAAAATAAGTGAAAAAACGTATTTTCACACAATATGAGAATAATATTTAACCCTTATATGATAACATCCCTTTTTCATTGCCTAAAGTAACATTTGTTCAGAGACAGACATTAAGATTATATAATTAGGGAATTAATTTTTGGAATGAATTCATTTATTCATTAATTTCTGTAGCACAGGCAATTAATTAACAATTTTTTTATGATCCTTATTGATTATAAATATAAAAAACAATATTTTAATGTAAATTTATACACTCTTGTACACTGGGGTAAGTAATATTAAGGCAAACCAGTAAAGAAGTGTATGCAAATAAGTGTATTAAGGCAAACCAGTAACGAATTCAGTAAAACAAGTCGCAGTATTTCTATACATTACAGTTTTTTTAAACATTCCAAACATTTGGTGTTCCACATTTATAGGCTGTCATTCTATTTTTAGTGTAAGAACAATAATGACAGTTTTTACATTTGTGAAGTTTGTCACTTTTTGTTTTTAACGGTGTTGATACTTGATACGGGGCTCCAACAATGACATAGATGATATTTTTCAATTTATTGTAAAAATTTGAATTCTTCAATTCCTTGTGCAAATGCTTATGTAACAGTGTCATTCTTTATCCACATGAGGGAACAATATTACCATTAAAGGGTTAGAAAGAGCTTTAATTTCTTGCAGTTTTTTGAACTGATGAACTGCAGTTAGTGCCTTCGACTCTGTTTGTCTTTGAGGTACCAAGAGATACTATTTTGTATTTGAAAACAGAATTTTTGAACTGTACAAATAAGTAGAATAATGAGAAAATTTGTTTCTGAAGAGGAATTAATTATTCTATAATAGGGGATTAACTGAATGTCTAATTTTCTTTTATTTTGATGTTGTGCATTAAAGACTTCTAAATATTTGGAGAAAAAGAAATTCATAAAAACAGAAGTTGTTTTTCATCGTAAAGTGCTACTGTGAAATAGTTGATGTAATTAATATAATTTGTTTTTAGTAGCGCTAAAAAAGAAATTGAATTCAACGGTATTTAATCATTTTTTTTAATGTTTAGTTCATTATATGCTATATTAACATAAAATAGAAATGATTTTTGTAACTATATTTTCTTTAAAAATTGAATAATTGCCAGCATATGTTTCTTGCAAGCTGTTGTTGCTGAAGATGGTTTCAGCTAATTGGCAGTGAACATGTTGTTTCTGGGTGTTTTAAAAAATAATAAAAGAAAAAATACATAACCTGAAATTTTGTGTGCTAACTACTATGCATGTTCAAAGCAAATTGGATCATTTTCATGTAATGTGTTTGATGTGGTACGAAAAGTTAAATATCTAAGATTCATTTATGCATTCTTTGATAATGGTTAAATTGTTGTAAGTGTAATCACTTACTTTCATATTTATCAATTTTAACTAATTAATTTAATTATTTTCATGTTCAGATTTTTGTTTTTCATGGAATTGACATCTGTATTTTTTTGTTTTGTTTTTTTAAAAATCTTTAATCCCATCATGTCTTATTTTGTTAGTGCAACATATTTTTAATAACTTGTGAGTAAAAGTTATCTTTTTTTCATTTGTCTTTCTCAGAGGGCAGATTCAGATCATCCTTATGGCTACAGTAATATGAAATATGTAGCCTCCCTTATATCGGGTGTCGGTATCTTTTGCGTAGGCACAGGACTTTCTCTGTACCATGGGATAACTGGTCTCTTGCATCCTGCCCCTTTGGAGTCCTTTTATTGGGTATGTATCGACAGTAATTAAATTGTTAACTTGTATGCATGTGATATAATTTCTTTTATTTCACCAACCTGTTCTTTTTACTCCTTGGTCAAACTCGTTAATTTATATATTGTGTGTTTCTTTATCTGTAAATAATTTTTAAATTTAACTCTTTAAAGCAGCTTTATTTTTTTTGCTGCCCAAGAGTAAAATCATAGATAATTTCTTGTATATCCACCATTAACCTTTTACTGCATTACGCCCTGCATTCTTGATTGTTTTTCTTCTGGCCCGTCTCTAAAATTTCTGTTTTTGTTTATGTTAAGCATACCAGCATGAGAATGTTTGATGTAGGGGTACTAACTTGTAATAGGCAAATACACCAGGTTATCATTCTGAAACCACAGCATAATATTGTAAAATGGAAATAAACACATTTTTAGAATGATTCTTATAATTTTCATGTGTAACGTGGAATTTGTTTGGAAGCATTTCAAACCCCAACCATATAAAATTCAAATCAGAAACCTTAAAAAATTGAAAACATTACAACACTTGTAAAAATGGACATAAATAGTTTATCTAAAAGGAAAAGTTTATGTGAATAATTTTTAGTGTTACAAAACATTCTTTGCGCCTATGACCACAGAATCTAAGGGTTAAAATGTGTTTAACTCTGCACAAGTAGGGTTACAATATATGCAAGGAGCTGCAATATGTGGAGGAATGGCTAAATAGCATTGAATAAGTTTTAATAATTCAACACAGTCACTGGTAAAATTCTCTCATTGGCCTATTCTATTTTGGTGCAGCAGTGCATTCTTCTAAAATTATGTACTGCTTCACATTTACTTTTACAGCAGGTACTTCATCAAGCAGTAAGGAGTAATTTATATTAATATTTCTTTCTTTTATAAACAGCACCTTTTTTCTGCACTGCTTTCCAGTCAGGCTCATCTGAGTTAACCACTCACATGTATACTTGTGATTGTGATACCCACTTACTATTATAACAATTGCAACAAGAACTGTGAAAGGTATTCATTCTTGAAGAAACATGAACGAGGCCATCATTGTCTCATTTCCTAATAATCTCTCTTACTTTTAAAGGAAAAAATGGTTTTCTGTTGCTAGCTAGACTGCTCTGGAAGTGCAATAGTGTCCCTGTTTATACAGTTCCATTCTTTTATACAAAGATTCTAAACAGTTATACAGTGGCATTTATATAAAGGCTATATACATTTATTTACTTTGATGAAAACAGATAGTGTTTCATCTTTCAAACAGTTCAATCTCAAAATGATTACTTTGTAATATCTGATTGGTTAAACATTTTCTTTTTCTCTTCAGATTTGAGATATTGAGGTTCAACTGTATAAGTTTTGATGTATAAAGTGTACTTATTAGTAATACTTGAAAACGTGTTGCAAATTATTTATTTTTGTTCTTTTTATTTGATTTGTACATCTTTTGGTGCCCATTGAAAGTTAAAGGTTCACTGAATTTTAGTGCACAGACCATTCAATGATCTTATTTCATTTCATGTTATTATGTGATTAATATAAAATTTAACAAGAATGCTACCAATTATAAGAATTTTCTTAAAACTTATAAATTCAAAATGAGGTAATGTAAATAATTTGGTATATGATAGATACTTATCATTTGAGGACATAACAAACTAGAACTTAATGATCAAGAGAGATGGCTCAGGGAATCACTTGATGTTACTGCAGTCCCTTTGACTGGGAGGTCCTAGATTCCAGTCCTGATGGTGGCAGGATTTTCGACACTAACTTGTCAGCTAGGTCAAATTCAGTCGCTGTCTGGAGGAGAATTCTAGTGTTTGGCTGCTCTGATTGGTAGTTTTCCATGGTTTCTCTGACAACATCAGGCGAATGCCAGAGCAGTACCCTACAAACAGACCATGGGCTGCACATGATTTTTCCTACCTCTTCCTTATCCTATCCTCACCCTTTACATGAACATGCACTATACTACCACACATGCTGAGAGACCGGTTAGGAGCTTAGATTTTGATCCAGCTGGGGCAGTGTCCTGCTGGTGGGAGATACCGGGTTGGGGAAATCCCTGCTAGGCGACAGTAGGTTGGCGCCGGATTTTGCTGTACAGCGGGGGAAGACAACCCTATCAAAACATACACTATACTTATGGAAGCAATGACCTTAATGATTGATGTGCCCAGAATCACTAACAATCAATCAATCAACCAAAACTTATTTTTTGTCTCGATGTCATTTGAAGTTGTTTTTTTATTTATTTTGTTCAGTATTTGGCATAGATTATTTTCAGTATTTATACATTAACTTTGAAGGTTATTGTAGTAACAAGTTTCTAGTTTATTTTTGTATGATAGTTGTTCTTTTATAGGCATTCTTTATTCTGGGAGGCTCTTTGGTTTCGGAAGGGGCTACTTTGCTGGTTGCAGTGAACTCAATAAAGAAGGGTGCAAAAGAGAGTAATATGCAATTTTGGGAATATGGTGAGTAGTGAAATTGTATGTACGGTCTATCAGTAAATCATTTATAGGACAAGGTTTAACTTACCCTTATGTTTAGTTATATTTTATATTGATTATATTTTTCTGTATAGTAATTTAGAAATAATTTGTGTACATTAAAATGAATTTTCATTTTTCTAGTACTAAGAGGACAGGATCCAAGTGTAAATGTTGTTCTCATGGAAGATTTGGCAGCAGTGTTCGGTGTTGGTGTAGCTGGAGTGTGCATGGGTCTTGCCACACATTATGGTAGTGCTATACCAGATGCTGTTGGCTCTTTGCTAGTTGGAGGTATTCTTGGTGGAGTGGCATCATTTATTATATACACAAATGTGGCAGCATTGGTTGGCAGGTAAAAATAAATCTATGCATACAATTAAGGGTAATTTTTAACATGTTAGGAAAAATTTAGTGGTTTTTAAATCTCTCCCTCACCTAACGCAAACAAATGTTCTCATGTTTCAAATTTGCTCCCACCTCCAGACTTAAAAGAAGAAACTTTCTTAAAAATATGAAATACATTTTATACATTTTTAATACAATTTTTCAAGTTAAGAAACAAAATTAGTTTCTCATTTTGAACATTAATAGTACCTATGTACAAACTTTTACTAGTGGTTTTCTCTTTGTACATTCTGTACTAACCCAATAACAGATAGCTTTCTCAGCAAGAGCTAGAATAGTAACAGCAAACTAGCAATAAACAAATATTGTGAGAATGTTAATTTAAATAAACCCTCTTCCTCTCCTTTTTTTGGTGGGGTCACAGCAGCGAGTCCTCTTCTCCTCCTAAAATTGAACATACTTGTTTGAATGACCTCTTGTGTTTTATGTATGCTAGCGTGTTCTTTGGATATAATTTCAAAGATGTTTTTTGCTTGATTTATAAAATTGTGGGTGCTGGAACATGCCCCTAATTAATTATTAATTTAATAGAAATTGTTATATATTATAATTTTAATAATTATTAATCAAACTTGATAACCATTGGTAACACTGTCTCTTTTCTCTGAATTTTTTTTAGTTTTCGAAAAACTTCATTCAAAGTCATTTGAAGCACCTTAACTCACGAATACAATTGTGTTTACAATGTTGGAAATGTGCATATTAACGCATGAGAGATAATTTTGAACAAAAAAAAAAGTACCCCAAAATGAACTTTGTCATATTAAAGAGTGCAATTAGCACTCTCTGTAAGAAAAGTTTCAGGAAAAACTTTGGAGCCCTTTTTGAGAAAATGGCATTTGTGCATTTCTGAAACTGCAGAATTTTGAGCTAGTTTTCTCAGAAAATGGTTTGGTTTTTTAGAAACTTTATATGACATTATTTAAAATACATGTACTCATAAATATAAAAATGTGAACAAATCGCCTCTCATGTAAATAACAAACTGAGTAAGTCAAAAACAAATTACATTTTTATAGTTAAAAAAAAATATAGCAATATGACGTTTATGTTATTGTATAGAGTACATTTAGCACTATCACTATCAAAAATGTAAAGAAAAAATTGAAACCATTTTTGAGAAGATCTTGTTTTTTAAATTTTTTATAATTGCTCATATTGTTCACAATATTGCATAAAAACTACTAAAATTTTCAAAAATATGTACATGACAATGAAAGAACTCACCATGGAGATAAAAATTTATTTGAAGGAAAAACCTCTATCTTTAATTTTTTATTTGTAGGAAGACACCCAAAAGTTGTCAAAATATTTCAAAAATTGAGTTTAACACTGAAAATCGGGCATAAGCACCTCTATAAGATTATTATACTTTATTTTAAAAGAAAAATATTGAAGCAAGTTTTGAGAATATTTTGAAAATATCGGGAGGTCTTTATGTAAAATTCCCCCAAATTTTAAAGGAAGTTTTTCAAAATTGCAGCGCAAGAGTCAAGCCAGTTCGACAGGAGAATATCAGTTTTGGAGAAATCCTACATACGGTTTAGGTGCTAATAGTGTTCACAGACAGACGTTTTGAAGAAAAACGCTTTCTCAGTATCAGGGGACCCCAAAACGTGTATTTCCATTGAAATCTCGAAATTGATTTTTTGCAGCATTACATAACTTTGCCTATACTATGTATATTACTCAGTATATATGTATGTATTTGGGAAAGTAAAAATAGATTTATAATGATATTTTACTGTTTTTTTTTAAACTAATTTTAATACATTTGTAGAAATTATACATTTAAGTGGAAAATTAATTTTGAGTTTACAAAAGTCAGTTAAATTAAATATCAAAGTCTTTGTCCTCTTCTTTTTGTTTTTGTCCCCCTGAGGTGCTGGAATTCTGTTCCACTTGATATCAAGCTTTGTATGCAATTGTAATTTCTCCTCTAAATAACTTAAAAGTGATATGACATTGCTTTTAAGGCAGCTCTACACGCATTAGGCATTCGCCGAGCAGCGAGTTACTGCTTACCGGACCAGTTGATATGTTCGGCAAATGTTTGCTTCCTTCGATATGTCTAAAAGATTAAAGAACTCATCTATACTACTTGGGATTCAGTCAGTGGTCACTCACTGTTGGCTGAATAACGAATGTGTGGAACCAGCTTTATAAATTGCATCTTTTCGAAGTTATGAAAAATGAAATTTCTTTGCTTTATTTCAAATGAAATAAATAAGGAGAAGAGAAACATTTCCTTACATTTTTTTGTTCTTTTATAAACTGATTAGCTTACTTTTGCTTCAATTGAAGTAAAATTATTTATTTTCAGGTCAATACCTCAAGAAAGGTTAGACAAAATAAATTCTGAATTAGAAGCTGATGTAATGATTCGAGCAATTCATGATGTGAAAGGTATTGATATAGGTAATTGTCTTGTACGTTATAAAGCTGAAATGGATTTTGATGGACGAGAACTCACCAGAAGTTATTTGGATAAGCAAGATTTGAACGTATTACTTGAGGTAAATGTTTAATGTTTGTAAAACTCTTTAAAGTAGTCTTTGATGTATGAAACAGTATATCACAAATTAAGTATTTCTTCAGTAATTTGTTTTTATTGAGATTATAAAAGCTGCAAATTGAATGACTGATATTTTCTTTCCTGACTTTTTTTAGGAAGTAAAGGAAATGAAGAATATAGAAGAGTTAGAAGGTTTTCTCTTGAAGCATGGAGAAAATATAGTTGATATGATGGGGGGTGAAATAGATCGCATAGAATTGAAGTTACGTGTAAGTACCACATGCTCTTTTACTTCAGCAAAGAATTATCACTATTTGAAATCTTGTTGTTTGATAAGAATGAAACTTAATAACTTCCCCCTTAGTTTCTCTTCTCTCAAGTGTGCACCACATTTGCCAAATGTTCGGAAAAATAATTACTGCTTAAGTGATAATTATTTTTGAAACTATCACTTAGTATATCATTGCACCTGCAAAATTGGATATGTTAACTTTCTCAAAAATGAGTAATGTTCACCCAGGAGCCAAAAACCTCTTAAAATTGTTTCTCAAAAACATGTATGTAAATCTTGCACATTCGTGCAGGTGAGGAAGGAAATTTGGCCATGTGCAGCAACTGCATTCTGTTTCAGATTTTGTCCTTAATTATGAGTCTCCTGTAACATTACATTCTCTTCATGTGGCCTTTTCTACAGGCACAATGTCAATATTATTTTCCTCTTTCCCTTATTGCAAAAAAATGTTTTTAACTCAAGGGAGTTACTAATTCTAAAAAATTATTTTCCTCTACCTTCTTTAAAAAAAAGAGAGAGAAAGTTGCGTTTTCTTATGTAGGTGCTGTAATTTTTATCACTCTTCCTGAGTTTATACTGGTTAAGTCTGCTGAAGAAAGAAATTAAACTTAAGCCTGTAATGGAAGTCAAATATAAATTCTTAAACTTATTTGCTTTTAATTCCTTCCATACAGTTTGTGGTGGAGGACAATCTTAATTTGTTTCTAGTCTTCCTATTGGTGAAACTTTGATTACATATGGTTAATGTTCATGTTCTCAACTCTCATCTTTTATTTTTTTTTGTTTTTCAGAAAAAGCACCCAGAAATTCGACATTGTGATTTGGAAATTTTGTAACATAATCTGTGATAGAACTAGGTATGTATGAATGTCTGTCCGTCTATTGGTGCTGTTACAATGTATATACATTTCCATTTGTACATAGTATTTATTTCTTTTATAATGTATTGTCATGTACAGCACAGCCTGATAAATATTTAGTGATCAGTAATAATCAATGAAATGGTTAAATATGTTTCATTTTAAAAGTGATACCATTTGCACAGCTCGTTTTAACAGTAAGTGATGCTTAATATTCATTGGAAATTAAACTTGTATGTAAATTGGAGAAATGTTTACTGTGTTCCTAAATGCAGCTCTACAAAATAGCAATATATTTATAGGGATAAAGAATTTGGAGTTAAAATCACTTTGTGTTATTGTTTTGTATAGCTTTGCATTATTGACTCTAAAATCAATCAGTTGTGAAATAATGAATTGACCAGATGTAGAATTGATTTGAATTGTTAAAAGAGTTTATTCATTTTTTTTATTTCCCTTCCTTTCCATTGCATTAGTATATGCAGAATTCCAAATAGTAATTCAGTATACTAAGTCCAGAGATATATGATGAGTAAATGTTACACAAAAATATATAAATGGAACGTTCTGGTAATACCTTTGAAGTTGCATCTACTACAAAACTCTTAATGTGTACATAAATCCATTGAAAAATTGGTTGGGTCTGACTTCCAATAGTAGTCATATCGTTCTCAATATCTGAAATGTCTGCAGTATCTACATTGTGTACATACACATTTAAAAACAGCAAATGCAAGAATCAGAAAGGATTGTTAATTCTTATTACATTGACAGGGTTAATTGCAAGATCAAGCCTTAGGACATTGAAATACAGTTGCACGGTATAGAGTGAAAGAATCTTCTTTAAGGAAACAATTCAGGATATTATCTAATGTGATATTTATGAACCTTTTTTTTAATGGCTTAGTCCTCAATCTTATCAGTGTCCCATTTCTAATTTAGGAAGGTAAAAACAAATCTGAGGAAATGAATTATTGAAATCAATTATAAAATAACTGGGAAGGCTACTACATCTCTTATAAACTTCTTCTTTTAACAAACTATCAAAATGTCTTTAGTACTTTTGAGGATGGTGTTAAAGGTGTTGCAAGGAGCAAACTTTAGTCAAGTTAACTTCATCTACACTATTTCTGTTGCAACAATCATCAAAGGTTTTTGCTACACATTACATTAATTTGGTCTGTCCATCATTTGATTATTATGTTAATTTATTTTCACTTGCTCTGAATTCTCTTCTATTACTATACTGATCCAAGAGAAATGATTTGCCCATTGGGTAACTGATCTATTGCCATCTATTTTTCTCCTTTTTCACAAAAAGCTATTTCCTCTAGTACTTAAGGAAGAATTGAGTGTTAAAATGAAGAAAGTTTTAAACAGCATAAATTATACAATTTCATTTTTGATTGCTGTAAAATTACTTACTTGCACAATATTGCCTCTGGAAAACATCAGGCAGTTTTTGAGGTAAACACTAGTTTCTCAATTAATTCCCACTACTGGCCCTTTCACAATTATTAAATAGTCTACCTTTCGAATTTACTACTTGATACTTTCCTCTATGTAAGGAATCATACATGGCTGAAAGATGCCAATAAATTACTAAATTGAGTCATTCATATATTTAAGATTGTAAAACATTTTGCCAAGGACATGTAATAAATATTGAACAAAAGGTTTCTTTGGTTCCTTCATGACTTCTACCCAACCTGTTTGACAATTTTCTTCACAATCCAATGTCCATTGTTTTATCAAAACTAATTGATCACATTCCATCTATCTGATAAACCGTTTCGTTATAAGTTTTGAATAAGTAAAACTCAAGAAAACGTGGAGGTCATTTTCCACTCAGAAATGTTGCTTGGGATGAATATTCAAAATAATTTGGAATATTTGATACAGCTGATAATGGAACAATTATTCACAATTATAATTGGTGTACTACGTAGTGGTTTAGGTTAAATTTCACAATTCAAATTTTTAAATCATTTTTTTTTATTTTCTTAATTTGTACATGCTTTCTTAAGAAACCTGTGTCTCAGAGAAATGGCAAAGTAGTTTTTGTTTCAATTTCAGTGTAATAACCTATAAATTACAGATTGTGAAACTCATTGATAAATTAGATAATGAAAGTGTTCAGATGTTTTTGTGTAATCTGAAGAAAGTTGTCATTTATAATGCATCATGAAGATGAGTGGTAAAATCATTCCTTATACAAAACAAAATTTTGAAAATTATGCCTATGTCTTACATAAATACATCTAGTTTGGTTTTATGAAGTTGAACTTAACGAAACTGACATGGTCATAATAAGAGTTATTAGAATCTGTCTTCTAATAATCTTGTCCTGTTAATATCAACATCAGTCTGTCACATTTCACGTGATGAATGAAATTTAAACAAATATTTTCATACATTGCTAAAATTTCAATGTGGATGAAACATTATACAGTATTTGTACTTTAACATCTTATTACAAAAGTCTGTAGATAAAGAGTTTGACAACCAATCTTTTGGTATTCCTTTCTAAAAAACTTAAAATTTCTCTGTAAATGTATGAATGAATGTATGTATGATTTTGAAACAAAACTTTATTTTATTCAATACAGTCCTCAATCTGAGGAACAAACACAAAATTACTAAATAAATTAAAGAAAACTGTAGACAAAAAAATATGATAGTATACTGAGAAGATGCTTGTTGGTTCTTTGAGCGGGCTAGTTAGGCCAGCCCAGTTAAATGAAATTGTCTTCTAAATTTCTACAACATATCTTTTCAGCAATTAATATAATGTGATATAATTTGACCACAACATAAATTTAATGTCTCAATTATAATTAATATGCTTTACAATGTTGCATTTCATTCTCAGTCATATAGTACAGAACATGGTGTTTTTAGATCTAATGGTGTCTATTGCGAATTCTTAAGACAATACCATATGTAAAAGAAATATTTTACATTCATTACAATGGCTCTTATTTGAATTGAATATGCAAAAGAAAGTCACTGTTGATTTTCTTTAGGGTATATGGACACACAAATTTAATGAAAAAATATATATATCAGCTGATCTACATACTGAAAACAAAACCACCTTACAGCACATTCATTGCTAAGGCAACAAGAAAAGAATCCTGAATTCACACAATTTTACATCACATACTCACTAACTACAAAATTCAGTCCTGCATTTGAGTCCCAACCAGGAAACAAATACAATTCTAACATTGACTCAGCATGAAAACAAGGCATACATAAAAGATGCCCATCTTCATAAAGGCCACACATATTCCATTGAAAGTGATCACATTTATGTTTGGCAGCTTGTGGTCTGTTTTCCTGAGATAGCAATTTATCTGGTGAATTTGGTTATGAAGGGCACTATTTTTAGAATATAGACTACAAAATCATTACTTGTCACTTAATGAATGTTACATCTACTTTGAATTCAGATGATATGTACTTTACAGATCAATGAAAAAAAATGCGTCAATCCTATAAACATTAACTGAAACTGCTGTTGAAATAAGTTATTAGCAATTCTGATGACTTCATTACGTGTTATCGACGGTGCTAACGTGTTTGGACAGCAGCTTCTTTCCTCGCAGCATCTTGCAGTAGCTGGGTATCGACTTCATCGCCAGGCAGTTGAACATAACGCACGACAGAACCTCGAATAAAACAGTTCTTCACTGATAACATGTGAGGGTACTTGTCTGGATCCGTAACACTGATATCAGTCAACTTTATATTCAGATATTGGTCGACGGAGTGTAACGTCCCGCAAATGCTCAGGTCATTCTTCAGTTCCACAACCACATCTTTTCCTACAAGAGATTTAAAGAATGAATAGAACAACATCTCCTAGGTTTATAGTCGTTCAGGTTGTCACGAATATAAACGATATTTTTGAGTCGGCTTCTTCGCACAACACACTACTTAACCTAATATTTAGAGTATGCACCCAGCAGCGCACAGATAAACCGCGGTCTGTTGGAACCAAATCGACATTCAGACAGTTGCACCAACTGTGAAAATTCGAATATACCACGTCAAAATGTGAAGTCGCGGTGATTTCAAGTATCCAATGTCTTGAGCTATATCATTTTCAATTATAGGCTTTATTAGATATTTCAAATATCCATCCCAAATTATTGATGACGAAGAAATGATGATATATTGTAAATTGTTGTTGGTATTTCCCACGTCACTTTCGCCGAATGTATGTTGATTGGAAATCGAGTCCATTGTAGAAAACAAAATAATATCACGCAGTGTTTTGATTTAGGTTTGACAGTGTACTAAATTTTTCGACCAAAATGTAATCCCAAAGTGATAAAAAAGCCATTTCTTGTTTTTCATATCTGAACAGAGCCAACAGTTTTGGAGGGCGTTGGTAAGTTTCGATGCCTTTCAAACTTCGATTTTGAATCTCTTTGTCTAAGGCTGATTTCTCGTGTAACTTTTTTTATAGTATATATCTTTCAAAACTATAAAATGTGTTGTGGTGTTGAGAGAATACGATATCATTCACTAGTGTGGTGCCCCAAGATCCGTCAACCAAGAAGAGAAGTTTTCTGGGTTTGCATTTCCGAATTCATGAAATACGGTATGGTGGTTTCACTCACATTCACTGGAATATGAAAACGCTTAAGTTTTTTTAACCCAACAGGTCATCGGAACTGTTTATTCCCAAGGCGTGTCACCCGTGAAGAATGAATTTTGTTCATTTTCTCCATAGTATTAAAAATAAGTGCAATGTGATGAAAAAAGGTCAAAGGATTTCCATAAAAATGCATAATAGAGGCTGTAATTGTGAATGTCAGTTGTAAAAGCAAGATAATATTGACGTCTATCCATTTATTCGTCACGGGTCCATGAGCAATAATAAAGCATAGCCTCTGTAACGAATGCCTATAGCTAGCTTGCGCATACGCCATTCGCCGCTGGATGGCATTCAGTTAACCAAAAGTCTATGGCACGTCTATGGCCAGTAAATGAGACGCTGGCAATAGCGTTGAGCATATTGAAAAATCGCGTCCTCAAAGAAAATTGGAATGTTTCAAGTGTGTTTTCATCCTATTGGTAAACCTGTGATCAATCATGTACTGGGCCGATTAATGTTTTTAATATTTGTGGAATACCGATTAAATTATCACAGCCCCATTATTGTACGCTTTGCTCAATGGTAAACACCGGTTTGCAGATGTATTTCCCATCATTCATTGCATCCCACCGATCTTGACAATATGTTTGTTGGTCCAGAAATTCCACTCGCTTCCGAATCTCTTGTTGATAATGATGGGAGGGGGGGGGCAGTTTTCCCAATACTCCTCCTTAGCTACACTGAAGCGCATATGCGTGTACAGCCAGTCATCCTCATTTGCGCTTGAAGGAGAATGTGCTTGTTAATATCTAGTGACATGAATCACCAAATGCTGCTCAGCCATTTAGGCAAGACATTCAAAATACTAATTATAAATATATTTCTCTTCTCTGGCCCTACTGTACAATTCCATGGCCTACCATTCGCATTCTCTCGTGACTGTTGCAGTCTTTCTCGCTGAACACAGAGGCGCGACTAGAATTTTTCTATGGAGGAAACGATTGGTGTTTAGTTATTTTGTGTAGACGGGCGCGTCAACTGGTATGTTCATTAGTCCCGTAAGTGTACTACTTGTTATATCCTGGAAGGTGGCATTGTTTCTCCTCCGTTCGAACATGAGATCCGACGTAAACCTAAACGCCGGCTATTGAGATTTCTTTTCCAAGGGATCTCCACCCATGGGGCACCGCTCCAGCTGGAACAGGCTCTGAGCACCATACTGGTATCCTGATTATTTCGTGTTTCCGGGTGCGTCAACTGCTATGGTCATCAGTTCCGTATGTGTAGTGTGGGAAGAGGCGGTGCTTTTACCCCGTTGGATGGTGAGATTCGATACCGATAGAGCGACCGGCTTTCCTCATCCACGTATCTCCTGCCAGCCGCTGGTTGCGCATCTGGTAATGTTTGCCTCTTCTCCGTGTATCGCGGATAAGAAAGCTTTGCGATTTCGTGTTGCAGTCGGAAACCCCAGTGCGGAAAGGGTTACGTCCCGGAACATGTGGAGCGAGGCGTCGTCGCCGACACCGCCGTCGCCACCGCCGTCGCCGCCCGCCTTCGCCTCGCCTGGCTCGTGACGCCGGCCGTCCAGCCGGCCAGCGGCGCCAACACAGCCGACTCGGCGGCGGCGCCGTCGCGGGGCGACCGCCGGCGACGCCCATGCGGTAAGCAGCGTCCGCACCTCGCCCCCTCGCCCCGCTCACACGCGTCGCGACGCTCGATCCGACCGCTCGCCTCCGCCGTCGCCTCCGCCGCCGCCTCGGCCTCGGCCTCGGCCTCGGCCTCGGCCCGCTCTGGTCCATGGACGGCGCCGGCGGCTCCGTCGAGGTACACAGCGGACTCCTTTGCGTTCCCACCTTTCCCATCTTTGATGGGAGGAGTGTGTGTGCTCTAATAGCTAGCGCATACGCCATTCGTTGCTGGAAGCCGGCGACGATCCTCAGCTTATCCATGTGGAATTTGTGGTGGACGAAGCGAACTCTCGGCGGGGTTTCTCGAAGTTGTCCCGTTTCCCCAGAATTTCCCACCGTTGCTCAATCGTCATTCACATTATCACTATCGTAGCATCCACTCATTACGTCATCGCACTTGCGTTACAATAACCGTAATAGTTTAAGGTTCCGTAAGCTTCAATAAATAAATGAAATATCTTTGAATCTTGCTATGTTGTGTCGAAAATTCGCAAGGAGCGCAAGAAGTAGGAGTGATCAGTGCTCAAAATCAACTCTCTGTAGTGCAAGAAATTGAAAATAGCGTCTCTTCTTAATACCTCGTAACTGCAAAACAGTTTGAGATTGCATACTCCTCGTACATATATCTATGTACGGGAAACGTGATAATCTAAAAATTGTTAGTTCAGCTATGCTCACCTGTGAATTGCCTGCGGTCCATGAGTTTCAGAGACAAAATTATATTAATCAATCATATTTAATAATTCAAAATTATACCAAGTAATTTTAAATAATATTATTATATTTGAACGGACTTTCTAAATCGCAGCTGATATTTTTGTCTTCCACATTTCTTTAGAGGAAATATTTGACACTGAGTTGTAAAAAAAACATTGACTTACGGCATCTCCCAGTAAGGTGTCAATTGAGGAGGTCTGCTGGCTTCAAGATGACTGCTACCTTACATAGATGCAGTCTGATTAGGCAGTAGTTCAGGTCTGCCCTGAAGAAAACCCTGAAGGAGGAGGCTGTGTGATGAATGAGTTAAGCATGATAGAATGAATTGGTAGTTTTCAGCATTCGTGACAGAGTAGTCGTAGTGGTTGAACATCGCATCCAGCAAAAAGCGGAAGGTGACTGAGAAGCGCTGCTTTCAGGATCAACGGACGGAATAAAAGGCGTGCGCAACTTAAAGTAAGAGGGGACAACAACCGTTCTGGGCCCAATTTACATTAAATTTGTTTATTTACATAATTGCATATTTTTGCTAGTAAATAAAACATTGTACAATGAGAATAAAATAACATCAATCAATAAAAAACAATTGATTTTACAAAGATCCATAAACAAGGTTTCTTGGAGAACAGCATTTTCAACTATCGTAGGACAATTACCCAAGGTCTCTAATAATATATATATATATATATATATATATA